GAAAGCAGTAAAACGAATTTTAAGATACATTAAGGGAACAAAACATCTAAAATTGTGTTTTCAACTTGAAGTTATAAGATATTTAAATGCATATTTTACTAAGGATAAGGATGATAGTAAGTCCACTTTAAGAGAAGGAAATATTTGATCCATACTTGGCTCATTGGTAGGTGGGATTTAATGCAATTGGCTTTGCTTCATTTGACACTTATGGTTTTCTTAAAAGATTGGAAAGCAGTAAAAAGAATTATAAGATATATTAAGGGAACAAAACATCTAAATTGTGTTTTCAAGCAGATAAGATTAAAGTTATAAGATATTTAGATGCATATTTTATTAGGGATAAGGATGATAGTAAGTCCACTTGAAGACATATAATACTATAAGGATGGTTTGAATTATTTGTTCCGACTCTAGAGCTTTGTCTGTAATTTAGACAAATGATGAACTCATACAGGGCATGACTTCGCTGGTTTTAAATCTAGATTGGCAGTCTTGGGAGTGAATAGGTGATTTTGGTTAGTATTATTTCCATTATCTTGGTTTTCTTGCTTGTTTCTCTTACCTTTTGGAATCCTTTACGGGACTTTTATCAGTAGTGGAAATACACCAAACTCATTAGCATTGTGGAAAGAAACACCTACTCATGGAGTTGGGCTTTTGGATGAAAGTGCTTGCAGGCTCAATACGCTGGCCTTTTAAACTTAAGTATAAGGTCAGAGTCACCAGTTATTGAGATTGCTAGGACCGAAATATATCTGGTGTGGCGCCAAAAGCTTTTGATGGTTCACTATCACTCTATGCTTGTTGCCAACATGAGTGAGGGACCAACAACCACTGGTTTAGCACCATTCTAGATCAAGGCATGGAAGAAATTCACTTTAGAGAAAGTGGGTTTGATTATGGAGTTTGTTTGTCCGATGGAGAGGTAAGTGTTTGAACTCAATGTAAGAGAGAGAGAGAGAGAGAGAGGTGAGTGTTGTGACATAGAGAGCCCTAGAACCATTTGAACTTAGTAAAATCAATGACCAAAGAGAGAGAGATCATTTATTTGTACAATGATATTTTGTGTAATTATTTTTGTGGCATCAATGTCTTTGTTAATTTGCCTACTATCGGCACAAAAATACCCTCAATTCGGTTTCGTCCCATGCCTTACACCTCTAGATTAAGTTTCTTTTACCCCGAGAATTTATTGGACTTCTGGAAATGTAATGAGACCATTTATTTTTTATGTAAGGTGATCGAAATCATCATTGACGATTAGATCTGATGATGGATGTCTCCTCCATGCCCAATTCAAAGCCATATATTGGTTGAATAAAAAGAACATAATAATAAGATAGCAGTCGATTTTCCCTTAATTGTAAATTGGTCGAATACAAATCCTATAGGTCTTAAGACTCCCCAAATAGGAGAAATTGAAGTCTATTGACCAACCCCACATTCGTAACAAATTATGAAATCACTTTGGGAATAAAAATTCCTGCTTGAATTTGACTTCTCATAAATTGTGAACGAGTTGCTATGTGGTCAACTCTTATTGTTAGATACACGTAAACATGAAGAATAACTTTGACTTTAGCTAAGAAGAAACGAATTGTTTCTTGTTAATAGATTCCACTATATAGTACTTGTCCTTTGCTTCGAAGTATGTCATTTTTGGCAAGTTATGTTTCCATAAAAAGTGTCATTTCCATGTACATCCAAAACCATGTAATGAGTATTTTATTTATACAATACCTTAATTGGTGAATTGGGTATCACCTAGAACATGATGCTTTGGGAAGACAGAGAACTCACATCTGTTGGATGGCAACGGATTTTGTGCTGAGATTGTAGATGAAACTTTGGTGTTTGAACAATTTGATAATCTGACTTATGGTGCCAACAACATAGGTAAAATCTGATGGATTGATGGTTGAGTAAATCAGGCTTCCAATAACTCTGTTAAATGTGGAGGATTTCAAGTGTTCCTATCTTTTAGGGAAACATATCATTTTGTTATAATATAAGAAAACTACATGGTTTGTGTTCAAGTTGTCCACCATTTTATATAAGATCTACATGTATATTTTTTTTGGAATAAAATCATAGCTTCTGGCAACCTTTCCACTTCCATCTCCTGGAAGTATTTTAATTTACCATGTTTTATTTCAATAGCAACTTTGATGTGATTGTGCTTGGTTTCCTATTCTTTTATGATAATTTTATTATCAAAACTTTCATTAGAATGAAGGGCAAGCTTTCTATGCTTCCCTTACAACGTAGAACTTATATACTTCCCCTTCCAACCATCCATTCTGAATGGATGGCTAAGATTGCCCCAATCACAATGTCATGTCTCTACAACATTTTATTTTTAATTTTGTTATAAAATATTCTGACACCAAATTTTGGGTGTCCAATCCTCTATTAAACTCGCATTTGTAAAAAAAATATGAAAGCAATGTTCCCAATAAAATAAAATGACCAAAATAGTTTTAAGGGGTATTTTGATCATTATATTTTATCAAAACATTATTTTTAATATTTTTTGTAGGTGTGCCCCAATGACAAGTTAGCATGTACCAAATTTCATATTCATACAATTTATATAAAAATAAATTCAAAAATAAAATACTCTAAGGCGTCAGATCTAAAGATCAAACAATGAGTAACTCATTATATCAAAATTGGACGGCTGGATGGTAGGAGAAGCATAAATCTTCCATGCTGAAGGAGAAGTATGGAAACCTTTCTCTAGAATGAAAGGGAAGAACTTCCGTGTGTTTTTTCTTTCTCACGAACTTTAGGACATGATCTTACCTCCAAGTCCCTTTCTAAGTTACCCTTGCTTTTGGTTATATTACTTTAACAACCTTGTAATTAGCTACTTTACCCTATATTGACTCATATTTATGAGCTAAAACTTTTCAAAATTTTTGTACACATTGTCTCTTATAATCCTCAACAACCATGCTATTATATTTGGATATCTACGAAATTGTCTACTTCTCTATTATTGATATGCTTTCTCTTTGTCTTCAACTGTTCAATTATTGCACGCTTTTTTGCTGAACTTTCAAATGATCATAGGGGAACTTCTTGTCCACGCTCTTATTTTAGCTTATATGATTATGTTTAGTCCCTTATTCTTTCCTGCATAATGCTAGTCGAGCTAACTCGACTTCTATTTTTTCACATACTTTGACAATTGATTACATTTTTTGCTCCATAATAAATGTTTATTATTTATCTTTCTTCTCCTGTTGCTATTTATCTATCCATGGCCATCTGTTCAAACAGCTAATGCAGGTTCTTTGCTTTTCTTCCCATTCTTTCATGTGAATTATATCCACTTCAATTATAAAGCATGGATCACATAAAAGAAACTGATTAAATATTTAGTATTCTTCCCATTCTTTAATGTGAATTATATCCACCTCAATTATAAAGCATGGACTGATTAAACAAGTAGCACTCAAATATAACCTTGAATACGCAGCTCCTTTGTAAATGGATTTTGATATGAAACTTGCAAAACAATTTGAGCGTTCTAGATGGTGTTGATGTGCCTAGCTCTACCTGTTTCCGTGGGTTCTCAGCGTCCTATTAAAGACACCGCGCCCAACAAGAAGGCTAAGAACTACTATTGGAGCCCTAATGAAGATGTTGTATTGGAACGTGCTGATCAAATCGTGCGACCACCCATAACTCCTGATGAGGGCGGGGATGACGTTGCTACAGAATTACACGAAGAAATTGCTGATGCAATGTGGGAGCGATATCGAAATAGGGTTCAGGATCCAATAGTTGTGATAATATTATATTCTTAGTTTTTTTATTGTACTTGTACTTGAATTATGCATTTCGAGATTGGATATCGACATCATGTGTTAAAGATGTATTCATGCATTGGAATGGAAAAAGTACTGTTAAATTTTGTATTGCACATATTTTTTCATTAATCTTACAAGATAGAGATTAAAAAAAAAAACAAAATACGCGGATTAGTTAATCAAGGCTTGATACTTGTATAATTTAATAAAGTGAACCAAAATTATGATCTAAACCATCCATTTTTTTAAACATAACACAAATTGAATGCTCTAAAATATTATCCTTAATCCAGATTCTAGGAAATAGTCAACCCATGGGTACCAAACATAAGAAACTGGTTACACATGAATTCCAAAAACTGGTTACCATGTGAACCAAACATGAAACAAAAAACAGAATTAGAAAACTATTGCACAGGAAACTGTTTGCATATAAAAAATGTTTTCCATATGCAAACTATTACACATGAACCACACGAGCCCTAAAAAATGTATGCCGGTTCCAGAGATTGTAGTTCTGAACCCTATCACTTGCATTCTTTTGCCAAGTTTGGAAGTAAAGTAAAATAAAATATATTAATTCATTGTGAAAAACGTGTGCTCCGGTTGGGTTTTTCAGCTTGTAAATTATATACGTAAAATGAATCCTCTAGGAGGTAGTATACTTCTCACATTTAAAACCCTAATGGATCTCTCATGACCAGTCACGCTACCATCATCATCATCAAAGCCTTTTCGCAATTAATTGAGGTGAGCTATACATTTTTCTATATCTCCTATCTTTTTCATCAATTTTTCCTAGTCTGTTCATTTCTTTCTATTATATTTTATTTGCCACAAGACCATTTTGTCATCTTGCAACAAGGCTATATTCTCAACACTACAAATTATCAAATAACTCAAGAACAATGATGCCTAGAATACCTTGGTATCAGAGTGCAGCAATATACAAAATTTTTGTTTCTTTAATTTTTGTTTATTTAATTGTTTCTTTTAAATGCCATCAGTTTGTAAAATAAGTTGTTTTGAAACTTACAGTTTCCTTTTTCCCTCATGGGTGGTTAAGTTGGTGATAGATTGTGCACCCTACTCCATGTCATTAACTTGAAATTTCCACAAGTATCCTCTGAGATTAGAAACAGAGGACAAGGGCATAGATTAATCTGTTGACATAAAATAGAGGACAACAGAATGGATGAATCCATTAACATAAACTAAGAAAAACAAAAGCAGGTTTTAGTAGTGAATTTGTTGTTTTGCACTCTATTTCCCAATTGTGGGAAACAAATAGCAAGGTTATGCTGATAACTTCACAGTAATGATTGTATACAATTAAAACATTTACCAGTATCCTGAACATCACATGAGACAAAAATATTATGCACAGTAATAGAATAACTTTCACCATACATAAAGGCAGATTGAGATGCAATTAGCTACCTTCGTCCCGAATTAAGTAAAATTATTCCACATGCTACTGCTGCAGCGATCCTCAAGCCCTATAAAGGAAATTGAATTTGTGATTAAACGTGATGAAAACAAAATTTAGGCTATGAGCATTTTGCACTGGTAACATATGGCAACTTCAATATATGGTGTTTACAGGGTAGCTTTTACGCATCCAGCTACAAAAAGAAGAGTACAAAGCAAACACAAACTTCATCACAAAATGGGTTCAAAGTTCCCATACTCCATATTCCACTATAGAAATACAAGTTAATGCAAGTAATAACATATCTACTTGACTGGAATTCCCTTTTCTTTAAGGTGAATTAGTTTCATCAACAAGATTTGAAGTCTTGATCAAGAATAAGATTTCTTAGCACCGATTGTTTGAATTCTTTTATGTAGCATGGTTTCTTCCATGTCAGAGAAGAAACTTACCAGAAAGTTACTTCTTCTAAATCCGATCCATGGGTTGTTGATTGCCTGTTACGGTAAAATTAGGTTTTTTACTGTGCTGAATGTAGGAGTATGGTGGGTGCTAGGGTTGTAAGTAGTATGGTCTCTTATAATAAACCAGGTATACTCAAAGACATCTTGTAAGGGACTTGTGTCACTTGACCCCAAGTCAAAGATAGGTCAAAAGGGGTAGGCATTTCAAGTGATTCATCCTTGAGCAGTTTAGCTTATATGATATCATAATACAAGTGCGCTTACAAGTAAAAAGAGATCATCCTTGAAAGTACAAAGCTATTGCAAGTGAAATACAAAAGTCTTGCAAGTGAAGTACATAAGTCTTGCAAGTGAAATATCCATGAGCTTTTATGATAACCTGGGCATTTCAAATCCCTAGGTACTTCGAAAATGGGGCTGGGGTCATGGTGACAGTACC